TTCTTTAGATTTCTTTTGTCTGTGTGTGTGGGGGGGGGGAGATACTGCTAAATTTAAGGTATGTACCATCCAAAAGAGGGAGCCCCAGGATTGTACTAGTCTTTTCAACTTAAATTTTAAAGAAATAATTCCTTCCCCTTGTAACTCTAAGCATATGCATTTGGAGTTTTCTGTTGTCATGCTGCAAGATTATGTATAATCATTTTACTTCAATGTGTGTTTGGAATGCATATTTTTTTAACCAGCCAAAGATGATTATGTTATATATTTATGTAGCAAACTATCTTTTATGTTTCACTTTTTTTTAATTAGGAGAAAAACAGAATGGATTAAGAAATGAGGTTCATGAAACAAAACGAAAGTTGCATGTCATAATTTAAAACATGGATTTGAAATGGGTTTGTATGCCACACATTCATTGGCCTCCTGTTAGTGGCATAAGTTAACCTTATCGCTTTTTCTGTTTTTTGTGGAGTTCTGTATTCTTTTCCTTTCTCTACAATTACCAAAGTCCTCTCAGATTTATGGAAGAGCCACTGAAACTCCCCAATGGCTATTCTGTGCCTGCTGGGGGTGCGATCAGAGAAGCAACTGGCTTTGGCCCTGGAACCAGACATTAAGAAGACCTCAGTGGATGATGTTATCATTTTCACATCTATTTATGGGTACATGACTAGATGCTTCTCTGATCACATTTCCCACTCTCCACTGGGCATAGAATCACTGTGGGAAAGGATAGGCTGCCATGATTCTACAATAAGTCCAGCAGGACTTCGTAAATGACCAGGTTCTCATGTGGAACTATGATTTTACTCTGAGACATAAAAGGATTCTTAAAATTCTGAAGCAGTATATTGTGGTGATGATGGCAGCATTAACAACACATTTTGTTTTTCATGTTTTGACATTTCTCTCCTTCAGGACTTCCTTCCTTCACAGACCTTTATGAGTTAAAAATATGACTGTTTTTAAGAGCCACGTTTCTGTCAAGGTAGTTCTTATGTCATTAGTATGGTAAATCCACTCTGGATTTTTGTCCAAACTGTAATGGAACTATCCAAAGTACTGCATCCTGTTTATAAAATAGGTTCAGTGCTTTAATCATCTCCTTTACAGTTCAGACTAAAAGGCAGAGTGGATACACTGCCCCTATGGACTTTAGAGCTGCCAGCCTTCATTGTGGTAAAGCTAGGTTTAATTAGAATATATAGTTTTAAAACTAGGTTTATGACTGCTGCTGTTGTCTTGTCCTCTACCATGTTTTGTCCCACACAAAGGGATGAGTTATTTCCCATTGCAATACTTCCCCCCCACATTCACTACCTCATGTCAGTATGGAGCAAGGCGGAGGAAAAAACAAACAAATGTAAAGTCAGTTTGCCAACAGACATACATGAAACAGGATATTTACCTGTTGCTCAAAACAATGAGGAATGCTAATGCTGAAATTTTAGTCTACATACAGTTTGGGATTTACCATATATACTCACATGTAAGGGGCTGTACAGATTGCCCCAAAGGGGCAGTGGCAAGCCTCCCCTTTCCTCACTGAATCAGGACTGTGGAAACCACACATCACAGCTCCAAATCTGTCTTTCCATAATGCAAAAAAAGCTGCAAAAAGCAGCTTCTTTTTGCACCATGGAAAGGGTGCCCTAACCACCGCTGCCACAGCTCTTCAGCAGCTGTTCTACGCAGCATGTCTGAACGCTGTCCCGAAAACACACCCTTTTGCCACTCACTGTGAGGTTGCTTAGGCAGTATGATGCCAGCTTAGAGATGGAGTCGGGGCAGCTGGTGTGCAGTTGCCACACCCCCACTCTGACCCCAGGCCAGCTCTTCATGCCGATCTGTACAGCCCCTAAGTCTTAAAGATATGGGTGTTCCACTATGTCCGATAGTCCTTATGAGAAATTTATACTTGGGACAAAAGGCAACTGTCGAACAGAATATGGTCAATTGGCAAAGGGGTCAGGCAAGGCTGCATACTATCATCCTATTTGTCCAACTTATATGAAGAAATAAATCATACTAAGAACTGGTTTAGACTCAGAAGGAGAAGGAGTGAAG